AAACCGGCACCTGCCTGCAGCTCCCCTCCGAATGCTGCCCCTCCCCCCTCCCCCCGTTCACCCCCTGGGGCGGCCCGGGGTCCGAGGCCCCCGTTGGGGCAGCGTCAAATGATAGGGTTTGAGTGGCGCGGGGTGGCGCATACCAGAGACTCAAATGGTATTTGTTTCTGATGTGATAATGATCGAGTGTGTGACTGCCGACGGGAAGGTGTGAGGGAGCGCGAGAGGAGAGTAGGGAGGGGAAGGAGGGAATGGGGAAACATTGAAAGCAAAGGTGGGGGAGTATCGTCGGCCTCTGTGCTCGTAAAGGATACGAAAAGAAAATTAATACAACAACAACTACTTGTGTACATCGATGTATAATATGTGTAGGATAGCGGCGGCTGTCGTCAATGAATGAGTTACTGCTCAATAGCATTGGCCGGATAACAGTACCGAGAGCGCCTACTGACCTCTGCTCCCGCTGGGCTGAACCGACCCGGAACCCGGAACGAGGACGTGCGCGTAGAGATGGCGGCACCACCGTCAGGGTCTGTGCCCGAACCACGTCACTCTTGGGGATAGCGGGGTACAAACATTACGGGGCCCCAACAACATGGATCAGGGAAATGGCGATTGGAGTCGATAAAGGGAACGCCGTCATTGGGGCGCTATGGACTCCCCAAAAGACCGCCACAGTATAGTTTGCCCCGCGATGTGCTATGTTACGAGCCCCCCACCCTGATTTCCGCAACAACTATAGTCGAGGGAAGGATCCCAGAGAAGCAAATATACATGCAAAAGGTATATCGTATTAAGCCTAAAGAAATACCATACCATAGGCATTTCCGTGAATAAAACCTAAAAGAATCTGTCAAAACAGTGGGTACCACATAAATGTCGTCTGCTCGAGTGTTCACAATGAAGGGGGTCTCACTTTATGAGCTCCGTGTGCTACATTATACTGTAACTCGGCGCTATGGGGAAAGTGCTCTGGGTGAGGACGGGGGGAAGATGGGGGGGGGAGGGGGCACTGGGCGTAAATATGAACGCGTATGAATCAACGCGTCGGCGCACGCCTCATTTTCACGGTTCGTTCCGCGGCGTTCCGTGAACGGGCTTCAATAAGTCAAATGCCGCGTTCCCTCGAGATGCGTTGTCCATAGGGACGGAGGGTCACAGCGAGAGGCCGGTATGTATCCAACATTTTACCCACACGGCCCCACAAGTGACATCCAAAA